ATCTCAACACTCTTCAAACATAAGTAGTGAAAATGGTTATACTAAAAGATTTATTTATAATGAATGAACAAATATAAATTTTTATTTAAATGGTTATGACCTTCTGTATAGTTATGATATTTATGAATAGTAATCTATTTATATTCAAATAGTTTGACATTTGTCATATGATAATTATTTTTTTTAAACATAATTATTTAAAATATGAATAAAATTGATACAAAAATTAATTTTATTCATCAATAATTAAATCTTTCTATCAAATGTGGGATGCACCATATTTTAAACTATCAATAATCTCCCACTAGTTTGAAATGTTGGTGCTTAATCTTGAATCTTCCACACAAATAAATATTATGAATACAAGAAGGTATCTTAGAAATCTAAAGAAGTTGATGGTGTCCGTAGATTAAACTTCAATTGCTAGTGTTAGAATTGAAGATATAATACATATAATACTTATTTATTCTTTTATCAAAGGTCTATAATCACTTTAACACTATTATGACCACGTACTTATCCTATTTATAAACATTTACAAGAAAGACTCCAATTCTTTTTGTTAAAGTGGTGCCACTTTATATTTATATAGGTAGAGTTTTCATTATGTCTCCATTGCCTTAGATATTTAAAACTCCATTAAGACTATAAAAACTCATCCTCTCTACGTAATAGATTATACTAATTTCTAAAATTTGAATGGATTTTACTAGTACTTAACAGATACATAGTAATAACTTGTTTTTATCCATTAAATTTTGTAATTAGAGGTTACTAATTCAAAGTTGGGTTCCCATTATTGGTGTTTAATAGTAAGGGTTTAAATTTATTCTACTTGTAATACTACTAATCAAATATCTTGGAATTCAATTTTCTTTTATCGTAATTACCTCCATTTAAGATTGAATCTCTAATATAATCACTTCAGGCTGATATGTCTAAATTTTTCATTTTGTATATCATTTATATGCTTTAGACATTATTAACTCATTTTTATCATTTTAAGAAATAGTTAGTACTGGTTGTGGCCATAACTCTATACTCATAAATTTTAACCATTCTATGTCCATATTTTTATACTTCTTTAATATAATTATATTTCTAGTACAATTGGATAAACTCAATGAATAAACCAAACCATTTTAGTCCTTTCAAGATTTTTAAAGACTTTTTTATGATTTTAATTTAATAAGTGTACTAAACTTATTAGCTTGTATAACTTGCAAATTATACTAAAATCTTACAACACTATGGTGGTAATTTTTTTTTCTTTTAATTCTTATCACCCCCGTCATGTGCAAGTATGCATTCTTTTATTAAAGAATGTCTCATTTAATTATCAAGATATCATATACACTTAATCAAGTTACCATTTCATTTATCTTTTCATTATTTTTTTTTTTAAGTAGGAAGCCTCCAAATCCACTCTAAGTGAAAGATAACTAGTAAATATCTTAATATTTCTATAAAAATATACTTTAACTCAATATAAGAGTTTACATTATTAAATAAATTTCAAATATAATCATGCTTCTATAGTCTTATTTTAAGACTTTTATGTCAATTTATAAATATTTATATGAATTTATTTCATCATGGACACTATTAATAATTTTTATTGCCATGAATGAAACCATTTCCATCACCAAAATGGATCAAATAGCATTCATTTTGCTATTATAAAAGTTTTCATATTCACAATATCTTTGAATTATTCATGGCTTTTAAAGTAAATATACTTTAAAATTTTCACTATATAAAACCATAGATGATAGATCATTTGTATAATACATGAATTAGACCATATATATAACAAAAAATTACCATAACGTGATCAAGATTGTGGCATCAATTTTGGCTTATGGCTATTCTAAGCAAACCATAATAATCCACATCATACCTACAAATGATGTATATTTGGCTATTAAAGTTATCTTATTTATAATGATGGCTTTTAATGAAAACTAACTATCTCAAATGTTATCATGAGTTTTCAATGCATATAGTAATTGCCTAATGGCTAATTCCAAGTTCATGACTAGTAAAATCTCTAAACTTGATTTCAAAGTTTTATGAGAACTTTATTTCTCCACCATCATGTAGCCTAAGTATATATCTCTATTATTTACCACTTTTAATTCGTCATAACATTTTAAGATATATAATAAATTCTTACTTTACTCATAGAAGCAATATATCTATGTACAATAAGAGTCCATAGTATATTTAACTCCAATTTCAAATACTTTCACAATCATTTTGTGATCAATATGTTTATATCTGAATCACCATATCAATGCAAGTCATGAAACATGAATTCAAAGAATCATTTTTATGAAATAGCATAAACAATAATTATAATGAGTTCTACTCATATTTCATGAAAAAGCTTGTGATGAATTTGCGTTGGTTAAATCATTGATTGGCTAACTCCAAGTCTTATGGCTTTCATAAGCTAATATTATTATCTAAGCCCATATGTTAATATGGTGTATAATAAGTCATATCCTTACCATTGTCATGAAACTATTGAAAACCACAAAAACTTATGCACTTTTCATTTTAACAACTTACAAAAGGCCTTTTTTTTCAAGTACAAAAAGCAAAAATATCTTCATTGTCTTTAACCAATAATGTATTAATTGGATGATGGCATTCTATCTCCATAATCCATATTTTTCTTAATGTATAAGAAAGAAAATTCCATCTTATTCATTTCATTTTCGTAATATATGACAAATTGTACCAATGTTCTCCATGCCATCACAAAATGAAATTAAACACATGTATCTACTAGTCCATTGGAACATTGAATTTGCATATTCTTTTCTAACTTATAAACATGGCTAATTTAGACATTAATGAGCATCCTTCAAAATGCTAGTAACTGACAAATGGTTTAATATTTTTTAATGATGTGCCTTTTTTTTTAATCAATCATCTAATTAGCCCAAATTTTAGTTAGTGATACTAACATAAAATTTACAAAATATAGGGATGACATAGATATACATACTTAATGTATTTTACATTACCATTAGCCGCAATTCTTCATGAAATTATATATTCATTGCATATAACAAACTTGCATTAACTTATTACATTATAAATTCAAATAATTTATAAATGCTATCATCAACGAGAATAATATTTCAAAACTTAAACCTTTATAAACCTCATAGTAATAATAGTTTGATATTTTCTTTTTAAACAAGCATCTATTTAACCTTCTACATTTTGTAAGCTAGTTTCATCAATCATAGTTATACAACAGAAAACATTTATATTCCACATTCTTGAGTTTATTTGTCTTACTTGTTTTGGCTATCAAACACAAATTGATTTGTATCTTAAACTTTTTTCTTTGTGATTGTTCATAATAAAATTTTATTTTGTAAAATCACTTTTAATGTAATATACCCAATAGGCTTAATACATGTCACATTGCCCATGTTTTTGATAATAACAATTAATTGGTTTATTATCCACCAATTAATTCTTGAAAAACCATATCTTAATAATAATTATTCACATACATCAATTTAATTTTAATTGATTTTTATGAAAATTGAACACTAGTCAAAATTTGAACCAATAATAAATTTTAAAATATATATATCAACTTTTGATTTATAAACGAATAATAAAAATAAAACCATACAAATAGCTTAACTCAATTTATTATCTCAAATTTGATACCATGATTTAAAAATAAAATAAATCTTGCAACCAAATCTTATTTTCTGCATATGTTCTCTACTTACATCTAATTTTTTATGGTAAATTCCTTTATTAATTTTTGATTGTTTTCATAAAAGCTATGGGACAGTTTGTCTATTCTATATATAATCAAGACATGACAATTAAATAATCTACCATTTTATAAGAGCCCAATTAAATTCATTACTTGATAATAAGTGATAATTTTTTTTGTCGTAAATTAAATCATGTCTATCTCTTTTATGTTTTCAGGCTATTTCTCATCCTAATTTTATAAATATCAATTTTTCAAATAAATATAATGCGATTTATTAAACTCAATTGTGGGATCAATTTCGGTATATGTATAAACTTTTGCAATATAATCAATATTTTACATATTTGTGTTTTGACTTTACATACTAATGAAATTAATTATTAATGTGTTTATCTCATTCAGTCAATCTTCTTACCAACAATTATGCAAAAAATAAAATATATACCTCTAATGAAGATCTTTATAAAAATTAATGTTTTGGTCAATGAAAATATTAATCTTTTGATACCTTGAGCCTCTTTTAATATTGATCTCCAAATCAAGCTTATTTCTTTTTTTTTTTGTATCTTTCTCATGCGAAATATAAATTTCTCATAATTGCCTTTAAATTATTAGAAAAATAAATAAGAGAAGAGAAATAATAGAAAAATTTTTGACTTTAAGACGTGAAAAACACTTTATTAAAGATAATTATGCTTTTAGGATACAATAAAACTTAAAAACTTTTCAAAAAAAAGTAGCAAAAATGGTTATATTGAAAAATCTACTTATAATGAATCAAAAGACGTTAAACTTATATTCAAATGGTTATGATTTTTTATATAATTATGACCTTTATGAGTAATAATTTATTTATATTATAATAATTATAATCATTTGTAATATGATAATTATTTATATTCAAACATAATTATTTAAAATATAAATAAAATTAATAAAAAATTAACTTTATTTATTAATAATTAAATCTTTCTATCAAATGTAAATGCATTCTAAACTACTAACAATTTATATTAATATAAAACTTTAAATTTTATAGTTTTTATAATCATTGATTTAAATAGATCTTATGGGTTAAAAACAAGTAAAAATTTAATCTCATCCTTTAAATATATTAAAAAATTAATGATTAAAAATATATAAAATTAAAAAATTTACTCTAATATTAATGGATATCTGATCGTTTGCTTGCATATGAATATGATACCAAAGGGAGGTTGTGTAGCGGTATAAAATCACGTCCAAGGGTAAATTCGAAATTGAAATTGTTATGGCATAGGCCTAAAACCCCAAAAGCCAAAACCCTTCACTACCGTGACATACGTTCGGTTGAATAAACAAAAAATGACAGGCGTGAAGCTCCTCCTTTCTCAGGCACGCCGCCTCTCCCTCCCCCAATTCTCCTCTTCTCCTTTCCTTCCTCTTAACAGATTCCTCTCTTCCTCTTCTTCTTCCTTTCCTCCCCAAACTGACTCCGAATCCTCTGTCGACAACCATTCCCAATCCCTTCCCATTCAACCAGTCTCCTACGCCCCCAAGCCCAAAGACCCAACCCCCCCTCACCCACAACAAGAACAACAACAAACACAACCAGACCAAAACCCTCAACATGCACCAGCAGCCCCCGAAGGGCCTCGATCCATGTGGAGCCGGGAAGACCTCCGCTATGTCAAAGATTTACCCAACATCTCACCCGTGTCGTATCCTGTACGCGTGGCCCCTCTCCCCGAGGATCGCTTGTTGGTGTCTGAACAAGATGGGGAGATGAGGAAGGAAGAAAGCGAGGAGATGGTGAGAGAGAGCGGAAGAATTCAGGCCGAGAGTCGAGTTTGGAGGAGACCTTTTAGGATTGCGGCTCAGGAGGAGAAAGTTGTGATTCCCTTTCCTATGCTGATTAACCCTGCGAAGAAGACCGAGAAGCGGGCTGTTCTTGATTTGATGGACGCCATTAGGGAAGTGAAGGTCCGTGTAAATGCTTCTTTTTTTTTTTTTGAAACAATTTGACTCTTTTCACTTAACCTCTTCTCCTATAGTGGTATGTAAGCTCTTGTTTTGATTTGGTTCACTGCTTAGTTATATCTTGTTTTGATTTGTTATCATTGCTAATTACTGCATACCATTTCTAGTAAATCGTTCAGGCTAATGCCAAAGCGAAGTTTGACGAAACTGTTGAAGCACATGTGAGGTTGGGTATCGACCAAAAGCGATCTGAGCTAGTAAGTATCAGTCTGTCTGGATTCTTTCTTATGTTTCATCTTGTAAATCTATCTTTATTATGATGAATCTTTGTGGAAAAGCTTTGTACATGTTTCATAATGGTTTTCCTTATTTGAATGATTCATGTTTTATAAATTACAGTTCTGCCAAATGTGCTATTGGGGGGGGGGGGGGGGGAAGCCAAATGTGATAGACATTTATTTATATCCAATCAAGTGCGTGTTGGTTCTTGATACTCTTTTTGTGTTAAGGGGTTTATATGAGCTCTTGGTAGATCTCATAGTCAGTGGTATACAGATCTAAGCAATTTAGTTCTTTCTGGATGGCAACAGACCAATCAATTTTTCATTTTTTTGTTTCCTTTTTCCATTTTTTTTATCTTAAACCTTGCATATAGTTGATGCTGTCCTTTGCATCCTTGAAAAATTTTATATACTGTTTGTTTAGATTTAGAGAAGCAGGTGGAAGAGAATTGAATCTCAGAGAAATGAAACAGTTTCCTTTATTGGAAGAGGACAGGAGTAAATAGAAGTGTGAGTGACAGAGAAGAGAATTTAAACACTTTCTTTCTTGCAATTAAGACTAAAAAGAGAAATGTGGAGAAGAGATATTATGAGTGAAAATCCACTATCAATGCATTTTTAAAATCTCCTTAAAAACAAGAGAGGTTTGTAGAGAATCTGCACCTGGAATTTTTATTTTATTATTAGCAAACATATGCCCTTCGAAATCTTGAATGAAAGATTTATAGATAACCGGTAAATATAGATTCACTTGTCCCCTCTCCTTACCACCTTTTCCAAAACCAATCAATTAAATATAGCAAGATTTCTCTTCGAATTAATATTCTTTCTTAAAATGCAGCTTAGTATCAGGGGAATACTAGTGGGATCACCTTATCTTCTTTTCTGTCATCGTTTTTTCGACCTTAATTTGCTTGACGTGATGTCAACTTCTTAGAATGCAACGTTGAAGCTTGTGTGAAGATGCCAGCTAGCTCTATTGATAAAGTGCTTCGGGGATTAGAGCAAACACTTGGGATCAAATCCCATTTTCAAAGAAGATTGACTGTGGCCAGGGAGGGGGGGCAGGAATTATGGGAGAGATGTGGCTTGCCCTGCTCTGTTTCTCATTTTTTTTCCCCTCATTCTTTTGAACTAATTACAACTTTTGGTTCCTATATTTGTTTGTAGTAGGTGTTAATTTGTATACTTACTGTTCTTTCAACTGAAATGCAGATTGTTCGTGGTACAATGGCACTTCCTCATGGTGCTAGGAAGGTATTTAAAACTTTTTCTAGACCATGGAAGTAGGTTACAGTAAACTGTCTAATCTTTTAACACCACTACCATTTGAGTATTCAGGAAGTTAGGGTTGCCGTCTTTGCTGAAGGAGTAGATGCTGATGAAGCTAGAGCAGCTGGAGCTGATATTGTTGGTGGTGCTGAACTTATCGAGGAAATTGCAAGTACTAAACCACTCTTTTTAATACTTATTGCCTCTATCTACTTAATTCCAGTGCTGCCTTGTCTAAATTAACTATTGTTACATCACCCCTGTTAAGGTTTTTGCCCCTTAGGTTTAGCCTGTAATTTTGCTTTCTCATTTCCTTTGTTTTCTTTAGCTTTTACAGAAGGAAGGAGGTGTCATACTTCTGTTGACCCATCTTTTAACTAATCTATGATTTTGCTCTGAACCTGAGCTTGTATCCATGCAGGCACTGGCAAGATTGATTTTGACCGATGTTTCTCAACTCATGGTTTCATGAAACGTCTTTATAAGGTTCTTGATTTCAGATGCTCTTGTAAATAGTCACTAGTTACTATTTCCATTTGTTGCTTCAAGGGATATGTGTTTTTACATCGTGCAGATATCAAAGATTCTGAATCAGCATGGTCTGATGCCAAACCCCAAAGTAAGTTTGTCATCTAATGTTTATTTTCATTAATGCATAGACCAATATGTGACTTGTAATACCCTCATAACTAAATTCTTGTATAGCAAGGTACTGTAACCAAAGATGTAACCAAGGCAGTCAAAGATGCAAAACAGGGTCATGTAAAATTCAGAATGGACAAAACATCAATTGTGCATGTCGGACTTGGAAAGGTTACATATCTGACTTAAGAACATAATCTTTCCGTTTAAGAATATCTGTGCTGAAAGTGAGGTCATGGAACTTTGCACTCGTGGTATAGGTGAGCTTGTCAGAGGAGTTTTTGCGTGACAACGTTGGTGCATTTATGAATTCTATTTTGCAAGCAAAGCCCGCAGGATTAAAGAAGAGTAAGAGCTACACATTATATTTTATGTTTGCTGATTTGTTCTGTCGTAGACATGTCACTATATTTTGCATGGAGATATTCTCTTTTTATAGAGTGCAACTGTTATAGTGTGGAAGTAGAAACAATAAAAAGAAAACCAAAATAGAGGCTAAAATTGATGTAAAGTCAAAGTTGGAACAATGAAAATATGGTTTAGGGTTGTAGGACCTCTAATAATAATAACCAAATATAATATGGCTCCCTAATGTGTCTAAAGGACTTTATATTAGGGTTGCAACAATTTTAATCCTTGCTCTTGGATATAAACCCATCTAACCCTAGCCATTCAAACTAATTAAAAGATCATATACTATCATGTGGCCACTATATATAAAAGTACATGTCTGTCAAACTTTTGATTGATGAGAAAAGACATTCTTTGTTAATTTTTTTAAATTGCCATTTTTAATTAATTTTAATTAAAATTATTAAATAATAATACGGTTTATATTTTAGATGTAAAAGAGTTATAATTATGTTGAGTTACTTTCACAAGAGAATGATTTACTCTTTAACACAATAGTAATTCAGATGAAATAAGTTTTAATCTTAACAATTTCTCATCCTCAAATCAAAATATATGAAAATGTTATTTGTTACCCTTAATTACTTATTAACACAATTGAAATAAAAATTATTCGTAGAAATTCTTGGAATGTGATAAATAACCATTATATGTATGCATTTAAATAAGCAATATTATTGCAAATATAATCATTGAGGAATATTAAATTTTTAATTTTTAATGCAAATAACTTCAATTGGGAACATATTATAATTAGTTAAAATTCAATAAACTAGATAAAAGAAATAAGTATCACATGCAAGGCATGTGACAACAAATACCTTTAAACTTAAATTATAAATACTAACTGTAAACTAAAGTAAAACGCCAGACATAATAAAAAACACACCAAAATAACCAATTGAGTAAACTTCTGGAACAGTCCTGCATCAGTAACTTTCTTGCATAGAGCCTGTTTTCTGATAGATTCTTTGTTCTTTATAAATATATTTTTTTACAGCTTCCAAGTATGCTGGGTATGTGAACTCCTTCCATATCTGCAGCACTGTAAGTTCATCATCTTTATTTTATTTTACTTTGTATAATTAGACTGTATTAATGTGCAACTATAAAATGTCAATGATACCAAAATTCTTTGTCCAGTGAGTGGATAAAAAACTTTAACATTAACCTGCTCATGCACATGTTTCCTTTTTTATGTTGAGATAGCCTTCCAAAGTGATATTAATCTAACAAGCTAATGTTTGCCACTTATTCAGAATCTAGCAGTTTAATCTTGTAGTTTTCTATCTTCCCTTATCAAGATGCTAATCTTTAGTTAACTTAAATTGGCAAATTTTAAAATGCTGCTTAGTATCAGGGGACCACTAGAGGGATCACTAATAAAACATGATGGTGATTTATTTTTATTATTATTTTCCATTATTGGGTCAAGATTCAACATATTGTGTATTGACATGAGGGAATATTTCCTTTTTCTCTTCCTGTATATAGTCTAATTTAGTTGAACCAGATAGTTGCTATCTGGAGTTATTGTGAAATGCGAATGTCATGTAACTTTTAGGCACTTGCATTTGTTCCCTTATTAACCTTGGATCTGGATGTGACAATATTTAGCTTGGAAGACAAAAGTAGCTTGTAATTTAAAACAGTCTTTAGGAAGAATCCTTCACTTAGATGATGTAAATGAGATGCACATGTCATCATCTGAACCATGCATTATCAGACACTAATGCTGTGTTAACTGTCCATCAATTTCCCACAATGTTGGTATTTTTGGGCATGCCTAACTTTATCTTCTTCCTTCAAAGAAATCCACTTCCAATTTCAATTGTTGTTTGCAGATGGGTCCAGGTTTTCTTGTCTCAATACAGTCATTGACCAGAGCGGCAGATAACTATAACAAAGTGTATCTTAATGCCTGAGTCATTTACCCGGACCAGCAGATCACAACTACAGCAAGATGCATTTTAATTCCTGAGTGGATAGTTCCTTAGCGACGAATGTGCATTCACTGAAACCCTTTCATTCCTCTTAAAGATGAAAGGTCCTATGTAATGCCAAGATGTAGGTATAGGATGATGAATAGTTTGAATTTTTTTTTTGTAATATGCTGATATTCATAGCAGCTTTAGATCTGTCCCTGCTGGTATAAACCAAGGTCAGTGTCTTTTTAGTTTTTCATTGTGTTGCCCCATTTTTTCTCAAACATTTTGTCAAAATGCTTTCAGTGGGTTGAAGATGACAACACCCAATATTTCAACATGCTGCTTTTTTATTTGTCAACCTTGTTGATAAAGTTTTCTTGATTATTAATTCATCAGCAATTAAGCATGCATAATAAGCTTGTCAGTGTCTGTTGTTAGATTATACTCTTAGGTATTACTGAAAGTTTCACAAGTGGGTTTATACAATTAACTCCTATTCATTTAGTAATTCTGTAAACTTAATAATTTTGAAATTATATTCAAATGTGCATTGGCAATTCTATAAATTTATGAGTTTAAAACTTCTTTTGTTAGTGGATGACATGAAATAATAGTTTTAGGTGTAAAGAATTAGTCCTACCACTTTTGTTGATTACTTTAAAATACCATTTGGTATCATTTTCAGAATTAATCATGGTAATTTAATTATCAAAGTGATTTTATTATTTAGGTGATTTTATCACTCTTAATCTATAATTACTGTGTGGTTAAAAATTATTAATTCTTAGTAATTAAAGATCATTGTATTTAGAAATCAAACATTATTTTGTTTGAAAATATCAAAATAATTATGCATATTATAATAGTTACAAAAGTTAATGATTTCAATATTATTAAAGGATGATAATTTGTATATAAAATATTAGTAATATTTTATTTACTTATAATAGATATAATTGAATTTTTTTAACTAAGATATATTTATTTATAGTAAATTAGTTTTTATAGTGTAAAATTATGTAAAAAAATATTTGAATTTGAAAATAAAATTAATATATTATAATAAAAAAATTATATTGTAAACATTTTAAAAAATTAAAAAAATCACATAAAATATTTTTGAACTTATTATAATAAATATTAATTTGAAAGTATAAAAAATTATAATATAAAATAATAGCAATTAATTTTAAGAAAAGTTTTTAATTCATATAATAAATGGATAATATTAACTATTGTTAATTGTATGTATCACTTACTTCTAGTGATAAAAGTTTCTTACATTTTTAGATGGAAATTAAATCACTTTCTAAAGTAGTGATTTAATCATTCTTAATGATTTAAGATCATTGTCATGCAGGATCACTAAATGTTTATTAAATATGTGATGTAAGAAGCATTATATATAAATTACCATGATTTTTAAGTGATTATCTCATATCAAATATTACCTAACAAAATAATTGAATTAAGGGAGTTAATTCTGGAAACATGTAATTTCATAAAATTAATAAAAATAAAAAATTATTAAATTGAAGAATAGTTTGTTAATGTTACAAATATAAAATTTATTATTATTTATAAATGTCATTATTTGATTCAATAGACTTACAAGAGGAGAGTCCAATCAATAAGCAGAGTTTTTTTTTTTTTTTTAAATTCTTTTTAATCAGGGTTCAATCCTTGAGTGAAGCGTACCAAAAGTATGTGCAAAAGTGTGTTCTTAAAATTATTATAGTAGAACAAAATTTGAAAAATATTCTGTATTACCAAAAAAAAAAAAAAAACTATAGAAATATCCTCCTAAACTATCAATGCGACATATCTCCTGCTTGAAAGAGAAATAAATAAATGATCATGATGTTTCTGTTGTTAATAATAAAACAATTTTTTCTTTTAATTTTTTTATCAAGTAAATCAAACACACACACACACACATATATATCAAAATTAAAATAAATTACGATTTAATCTAAAAATTTAATGAAGATATACATGTATGTATCAAAGTATAATTTTTTTTTTTTTGTACTTAGCATAAGGTTTTGAGAAAACTTCAATGCGTAAGGTTTTCATTCCTTATTTGTTTATATATTTTTAGATAAAAAAGTTTAAGCTCTATGAATAACTAATTAATAAGGTGAATTTATCATTATATTATAATTCAATATTAAATTTTATCCAATTTTATCATTATACTTTCAATTTTGATGATTTTTTAATAAAAAAATAAAGGAACCGAAGTATTTTATGAAAAGTAGCATTCACTTATACTAGTGTAAATTTTGCATATTTTATTTTAGATCAAAATGGCTAATATTAAAAATTCTCTGATGATGATTTTATTTTATTACTGCTTTATGTTAATGACTTAGTGATTGTTAGCAAAAATGCTCTTAGAATTTGTAGGTTGTAGAAGTAATTAAGTAGATCATTTGTTATGAAAGACATAGGACCTATGAAACAAATTTTTGGAATTTGAATTGATCAAAATAAAGCTGCCAAGAAGTTATACATGTCATAGCAGTAATATATTGAAAACTTGTTTGAAAGGTCCAATATGGATTATGTTAAAATGGTTAGTTCTCCTCTAGATACACGCTTTAAATTAAGTATTAAGTAGAGCCCTTCAATAGCTGAGGAAAAGGAAGAAATATGCTTCACTAGTAATGTATGTAATGTATGTAATGGTATGCATAAAGCTAAATATAAACCATGCAGTTGGTGTTATTAGTCGCTTTCAATTAAAAATATTGAGGATGAAGGTAAAAGGGACCAGTGCAACATAGGGCTAATGATACTCGGAAGAACAACCAGTAGAGTACTTGTTTGGGTATGGGACTGACATAAAGGAAATCTAGTTCGAAGGGCAGAAGATAAAGCCAACATGCACAGAGATGTACAGTTCAAATGCAGCATCCCCCTAGCAACGAGGGCGTTGCTAGAATGAGTGGATGAGAATATCAAAGTCTGCAAGAAGGACTAAGCCTAATAGTTTTCTTCGAGTTGAATAGCAATTCAAGTTTTAGAGGGACAAAGTCTGACAACTAAGAGGACCAGGTCCTGAGGTGCATTGGAGGTCTAGGTCTAGTGCAACATGGGGCTAATGATACTCGAAAGAACAACCAGCAGAGTACTTGTTTGGATATGGGACTGACATAGGGGAAATCTAGTTCGAAGGGCAGAAGATAAAGCCGACATGTACAGAGATGTACAGTTCAAATGCAGCATCCCCCTAGCAACGAGGGCGTTGCTAGAATGAGTGGATGAGAATGTCATAGTCTGTGAAAAGGACCAAGCCTAATAGTTTTCTTCGAGTTGAATAGTAATTCAAGTTTTAGAGGGACAAAATCTGACAACTAAGAGGACCAGGTACTTGAGGTGCATTAGAGGTCCAGGTCACGAGAAATTAGCCCAAAATAGTGGGATAGGTAGTGATTAAGACTTAGGAGTTACCGTGAGAGTCAGAGTTGGTGGGAAGAGCTAGAGTTGGCATTGGTGCAGGTTAAGGGATTTGTGTGTGCATATTATGGTGTGGTGTGTGTACAATGAGGGTGAGGGTACCTCTTATTTATAGCTAAGGCCCCTTTAAATTAATGGCTGATATTGTTCCTATCTTAGAGCATATAAAGAGTCCAATATATACAGGTCATTACAATAGGATTATAATAAGATAGTTTTAATTTTATAAAGACTATTAGAAAAAAGTTTGAACCAGCTTGGACTCATTCTTTAGTAGTGCCTACGTAGGGTTTTTCTCTGGGCTTGTGCTTGGTTCTTTTTTTCCTGTGCTTGAGCTTACTCCAGCACCTATGCTTGAGTTTGTTTGAAAGCTGCTGAACCGAATCCTCTAGCCTGAGCTCCCTAAGCTCATTTTAGTGTTTGTGCACCCATTCAAGGTCATGATTCTATGTTTAGAACCTCTATTACTCCTCTAGGCCTAGTTTTTTTTTTTCTTTCTGACTTGGTCTCGATTGCCTTAGAATCATTTTTTTATCTTGGTAAAAACCTCTGGATTTGTTCTTTCTTACGGATTGTGACATTCTTCCCCATTCATTCTAGTAACACCCTCATTGCTAGGGGGTGTTGCATCTAGACTGCATGCCCCAGTACACATTGGCTCTTTCTTCTAACCCTCGAACCATATTTCTCTTATGTTGGTTATATACCTAAACAAGTACTCTGTTGATTGTTCTCTCAAGTATTATCAGCCTTATGCTACACTGGTCCCTTTTGTCTGCATGTCCAATGTTTTCTCTACTTTTTTGAATTGCTCATAGCACATTTTTTTTGAAGAGATCTGGTTGCACCTCGGGACTCATGTCATGGCACTCCATTGCCATTTTGCTCTTATCTTTTGAAAAGGTTTTACCTTCTTGACATAATTGAAAAACACAGAGCTACATCACCTTAGGCTTTTCTTGATGCTCATCACTATTACTACTCTTGTTTATAGACGGCTCTTTTGTCTGGTTGATGGTTGAAAACCTTGCAAACCTTGGGCACTCAAAACCCTGTGTTGACCATCACATATAAAACAACTCAAGGGTTTTTTCTTGTAACCTCTACTGGCGATACTGTCGACTTTGTAAAATCTAAGCTTTTTCGTTGTCATTTCATCTTTCAAGGAACAAACACTAATTTTTTTTTACTCATAACTTGAGTAATACAAGTTTATGCTTTCTTACCTCTATTGTTCTCTTTAGCTTTCCATCAAACACCTTATGTGCAGCCTTGTCTAGCAGTAGCTTAGGGTGGTTGGCCTTAAAGTTTCAAGTATCTGTGCATCAATCCAGTTGAAGGTTGATCTAAGATATCAGATGAGTCAATTTCCAAGTTTTAAAATTGCACGAGTTAGAACTTGAGTCTTGACCTATGACAAGTGGTATCAGAGCAGGTTTGAAGTTGGTTCAAAGTTGACAGAAGCTAGTCCAAAGGAAATGATTAGGGCTGGATGTTACTGGAATCGGAGTTAGACTTGGGAAAGGTTTTAGACGTGTTGGTGTAGGCATTTTAGGTCGTTTTTATGCTCATGTGTTGGTGATATGCCCTTTGGTGCACAAGGTATGGGCATGCAAGAATGCAAACTAAGTGTTCGACCAATGGTCACTGTGCTACTGGAGGAGTGCTAGATGTACGATACAGGTATGCAGACTGGTGCTTAACCGAGAGTGTAAGGCATGCTGAACCAATGTACATATTGGTACCTAATAGTGTGTGTATGCTAATGTTCTATGTCGATAGACAAGTGTGCTAGTTTATGAAGAGTAGAACTAGATCACTGAAGTGTGCAAAAGGTTAAAGTAATCTATTTGATTTTATACATTTGTGAGTAACAGTGTGTTTTAGGGCTGTGGCATGGCTAGGGAAAATCACTGAAGCCAAATCGATGGCCTTGATGAGTGCCCATCTATAGATAAGGTGAAGAAGGCTAAATCAAGAGACATAGTGATGTCTTTGGACACCCAATTACAAAAGTGCAAGATGACCATTGCTAATTTGAAAGATAGGTTTAATAATAGGAAATGATCCTTGAACGAGGTATTAGAGATGTTTATACAACGAAATGAGGCATTAGAAGTTATGCTGTTAACCTTGTAAGAAGAGTTAATAAGGCTCAGGGTTGATCATACTACATTACATGCTGTCGTAATTGTTGGTATGGTCTTAAGACCTAAGGTGGCAATGCCTAAGCATTTTTTAGATGGT